ACTTACTCACTCACTCACTCACTCACTCACTCACTCACTCACTCACTCACTCACTCACTCACTCACTTACTTACTTACTCACACACATACGTACATTAATTTGTTAGAAATGTAGTATTGTTTTTACATTATAATAAATATAATTACCTTGTCATCTTTAATAACAGATCCATTAAATAATTTCTTAAACAAAATGTATAAAACAATTAAACCAATAATATATTCCAACATTTTGTTATTGTGTGAGTCTATTCTATCTTCTAATTATTAACTATAATTATTAAATTAATTGAACATATGGAAAATTGTGATCAAATATTCAATGCGTTATTTGTTAAAAAATTATAATTAATAGGATGTAAGTTAAAAATTTTAAAAAGCGGGAATTAGAAATTATTTATCATTAAAAGTAAAACATGAATGTAATATTATAACTTATAATTATCATTAATTAATTAAATAGTATTTATATCTCATTTATCATTTCCAACAATAAAACCACTTCTTATTATTTACACGGATTTCAATGCTCTTTAGTTTAGGACTTCTCGACAATAGATCACAAAAATCATTGTCCGAGAGATCAACGCTTCCAACGCCTTCAATGACAAGCATTTGCAGCGCCGGTAGTCTTGAGATGTCGTCCAATAGTTGTTTCCAAGTTGTCGTGTATTTGCAAATATTAATGTATAAATAGCGAACATGGTCACAATTATTAAGTATATTAGTTTTGTATAAACATTGTCTCAAATAAAGTGCTAAATACGTTAATGCTTTGCATTGACTCAACGGCCCGATAGAGTTGCCATAGATGGCCACAAAAACCGTTAATTGTAATCGTTTTAATCGGGGAAAAAATCGCAACGAATCCAACGTCTGGTTAACCATAGCCTTGGATCTGGCCTTCAATACGAGCGACAATCGGACCAATTGTTTGCAATTCATGCCAATTGACCGCAAGTACGCCGCATGTAGTGTACTGTCGTGCTTTAAATTCAGTGTTAAGTCAAGTAATTGTGTTAATCGTGACAATTGTTGCGCAAATTCTGTGACATTTTTCAATAAATTACTTTTCCAATCACTCACTACAAGGCTTTGAAGGCACTTATTCTCGGCCACAAATGTGTACAACAGTTGCTGATTATCGCTCGGATTATACGTGAATTGAAATTGTTTTAGATTTTTGGCCAATAATTGTCCGGAAGTGGTGTCGAAAATGTCGGCCAACGAGTTTACCCGTAAGTGTGACGCTCGCGGGCAATAAAGGAGTAATTTGTTGCTTTTTATTGATGATAAACTGATTCGTGTGACCAGTTGTCCGAACCCGTCCACTAGTTGTTTACTATTTGTCCAGAATTTGCAGTAAATTTCCCGCAAATTGCGGCAATTTTCCCGAAATGTTTCCAACACTTTGGGAATGTGTCGCCTATTTGTGGCACTTATTTCTCGACAGTCAACGGTCCGTATGTTTGGACACTTTACAGCAATTTCGGCACAGATTTTACCCGTATATTGATTTTGCACTTTAAGTAATTGTTCTGTAAGTGTAATGTCGACAACGCTGTCGAAGACAATCCTCTGGAACTGTTTGGACACACACTCGCATCGGAACCGGTCTTCGAGTGAGAGATAGGTTAATATTAGTCCAAACAAATCGTCACCGAATCTGTCCATTGAGTTCAGTGCATACAGTTGTGGCTAAAATGTGAGATAAAAGTGCTATTACATTGAAATTCAACTGTTATACTTACCTACTCTGCTAATTTTTTTCATTAGTGAAAAATTAGCAAACATTACGGTAAAAATTAACTGAGCATTTTTGATAATTTTAATTACAAACGTGTTGTTAAATACCTGTGGTTTGTTGTCATCCATAGCGTTGAGTGATGTCAAGTGTTTCATCTGTTGTGTCATATCTTATAGTAAAGTAATTGAATTAATATTTAGATTATTTCAAATCAATTTAATTTATTTAACATTTATACCATTTTTAAGGCAATAAAACCTCTTCTCATTGATATCAATGTTTTTAAGTCTACGTATTCTCGACAACAGATTGCAAACACCATATTCTATGCGATGGCATTGAATGGAAAGCGTTTGCAGCGCCGGTAGTCTTGAGATGTGTGACAAACACCGGCGAGTCATGTGATAATAACTGATGGATAGGTACTGAAGTCGTGGCCAATGTTTGTCACAATTATCCAGAAAATGGTCATCCATTTCCCTTATATTAAAAATGTAAAACTTTTGAGTTTTAAGTTTACAATCAGGTACTACTGTAGTTGGTATTTAAACTTAATCTTTAGAAGTATGGCTACGATGTGACTATTTAAATGTCAGTTTTGCCCAATGACCACAAACACTCAAGTTTTAGCCACATTTATTAACATTTATATAATATAATATCGATAAGATAAATATAGTATATTTTTGTAAATTTGTTTAAACTAATATTTAACAAATGCATAGACTTTTATGCAGTTGGATATAAATGTACCCATTACTCGGCTATCTGTGACCATTTGCATGATCTGACACCAGAAATAACCATGTCGTGGCCACACACGACTATACATGGATAACAACGGGTACGCGGATCAATACCTCTTACCATTCATAAGTATGCCTCCTAAGTGTCAAATGTGTTGATCGGAGACAAAGTTTCAACGGTTCCCAAAAGTCTGGTTCAACATTTCTATCGAGGGTTAACTGCAATCGTTTTAATCGTTGATAATTTGCCAGAGATATCATTGTATAGCGACTATTATTATAGGCAGCGATGTTTAGGTTATGGATTTTTAGGGTTAATCGTTGCACTCGTTGACAGTGTTTGCTAATTGTGCGCAACGATTGCGCCAATAAATTGGCATCAATTACATCAAACCCGAGACTCAATCGCCGTAATTGCGTTAATCGTGACAATTGTGCCGTCAGTTTGTAAATACTCTCATCATTACAAATGATTACATTAACACTTGTGAGACACTGATTGTGTGCCACAAAATTGGACAACAAATTTTGGTCATCACTCGAGTAGTCATTTAAGTAAAATTTGTCCAAATTTTTGGCCATTAATTGGCCAGAAATCATGACAAAGGCGTCGGCTATTGAGTGGACTCGCAATCGAGACAATTGGTGGCAATGAATAAACCATTGATTCTCTGGCGAAGATATGTAATAGATTTGGCTAAGCGTTGTTCCGATTGAGTCAAATAATTGGTCTAAATTTTCGTATAAATTGCAGTAAATTTCGTCTAAATTTTTGCTGTTATCCCAAAATGCGGTCAAAACTTCGGGCAGAAGAGATTCACACATTTTGCTCATTCCTCGGCAGTCAATGGTCTGAATGTTGACACACTTTGTGGCAATTCTGGAGAATAATTGCTTTATAGTTGCCTTTTGTTGCGTTGTTTTGTTTATAAGTTTGTCATTAATATCAATGTCGACAACACTGCCGAAGACTGTCCTCTGGAACTGTTTGGACACACATTCGTATTGAAACCGATCTTCGAGTGAGAGATAAGACAAGAGAAGTGCACACAAATCATCACCGAATCTGTCCATTGAGTTCTTCGTATAGATTTGTGGCTAAAATGAGAAACAAATACAATTAAAACTCAATTAACAATTAATTGTTTGTCAAATACTTGTTGCCTATTGTTATCATTGCATTCATGTCTGCTCTCGAGTGATGTCTTCAAGTGTTTCATCAGTTGTGCCATAATTAGTGATCAAATGAATTAATCGTTTGAATGTTTTGATTCATTAATGTTTATTAAATGCAAATTAAATGGCATATAATATGTAATATTCACAAGTTATGTATTAATTATACAAGTATATAAGTTATATAAATTACATAAACTTTATAATATAAACATTGCACTTAGGGTGACCAACTCAAAAAATGAGAAACCTGTACATTTGCTATACTTTCTTCATAAATTCCGAGACATTCCTGTACATTTTAGTAAATTTTCCTGTACGCTCCCCTGGACACTAATTTTCTCAACGGAGCATAATTATAGGTAATTGTAATTTGTACAAACCATACATCGCATTCCTGTACAGATAAGATTGTGTATATTATGACAAGATAAATTAATTGAAATTCAAAATATAAACTTATTTTAACTACAATTTTGACAAAATTAAAAGAAAATTGCGTATCTTAGATTTAAAACAAATAATATTGTTATAAAAGTATAATATTTGATCTAATTCTTATTAATTTCTCGCCTGGACATTATATAGTACAGGCGAAACACCTGCCTGTACACTGGACAGATTGTCCAAAACCTGTACTGTACAGGCCAAACCTGTACGGTTGGTCACTCTAATTGCACTACAGATAACTAGAGAAATTTGCATTTATCAGTTATATTTATTACTAACGGTATGTAATATGTAAGTTATCTATAATAACCACTTTTTATTACCATACAAAGTTTTATTAATTATATAAATAAGATTAAGATTTATTTGTTCGTAAAATAAAAATAATTAATGAGATGTTTATTTGCCATAACAATGCAATTTTTACATAAAATAGAAAGTGACTATAAATATTAATAGCTGTTTTATAAATAGAAATTTTAATTTTCAAAATTTTAATTTTTGCATTTTTGTGTCAGGTGATATCGTGCGTATTTGGTCGCTGTTTAATCTAGTTTAAATAACTATGCTTGTATGTTTGTATTTAGTGTATTATAATTCTAAAATAAAATTAAATTTTTATTTAAATGATAAGAATATAACCATTATTTCCACTAACGTAGGCATTTATTTGATTAAGTATTTATATTTTTAATCTAGTTAATACTTTACAGTTGATGAATCATTAACTAATAATTTAAAATAGGAACGTACGATGTCGCCCATTATTCTTATTTTGTACAATGTACATTTTATTTTGCACATTAATATAAAATAGTTTTTTTTAGTAAATTCTTAAGCATATTTTTACATTATGAGCAAATAAATGTAATTAAAAGGGCATTTATAATTTTATTAGAATTAATTAATTACTTTTACTAATAAAAATTGTAACTAATTTATTCAACATACATTAACGTTAACCATTATTAATAATAAACCACAAAAATATTTACTATAATTAATTTTTATTAAGTTATTCTTATTGTAATGGATTTATTATGAACATTTTGCTTATTAATTAAAAATCTATTATATTATAATTTTCAAACTATTTAATTTTTGAACTCATTGATTTGAACTATTTGAACTATCATTATAATATTTAAAATTAAATCATAGTAATTGTGCTAATAAAGCATTAAGACTGATCATCATTGTTATAATATGTAGGATAAAAAGTGTACATTTATACTTTGATAAAAAGTTTATTTTTTCAAGTATGTAAACAATCATCAATTTATAATTAAATACAAGATAGATAATCACGGTAAATTAAGTACAATAAGTAAAGTATTGTGCAATAAACCCATATTCTTTAACAATGATTTTAAAAGGTATGATTTTTAAAGTGTTTAAATTACAAATAATATTATTAAAAAAATAAAATTAAATTTTAATATTATAGTTTTAGATTCTTTAATTAATATAATCATTATAATTAAGCAACTAAATGCACTACTGCTAATATCTATGAGCAAAATTACATAATTTTCTCAAGCATTATCCAAAGTATAAGTACCAACTTCCAATGTACCTTGAAAGTACACATATAATCGCTTAATCTCAAGAGCCTGAGAATACCAAATTGTATATAAATATGACAGCAGCTTTATTGTACTTTATTAATTAGTTTTAACAAAATAATAATAATTACCTTATAGGTATAAAATGTGCAAAATTATACAAGTTGTATTATGCGTGGCAGTACTGTCAACCGCATGTTTAGCCAACGGTATGTATAAAAGCATTTCAGTACAATTTTATTTTTATTACAGTTTTAATTAAATTGTTTTAATAATGTTTATTTTATAAATCACATTTATATACAGTAGACATTAATGCCTTAAACAAGCGCATCGAAATTGATCGAAGTAAGATTATTATTTATTAATCTAAATTATATTTTTTATATTATGAATTACTGACTCAAAATCACTTTAATAAAACAAAACTAACCCTAATATAACCATAAACAGAGGTGCAGGACGTGGTGTGCCGTACGAGCGGTGGGACAGAGAAATGCTATTACATAATAGACAAAGTGGTCAATGAAGTGGAGGCCAAGACCTACTGCTCATCACTAGACTCGACGGCCCGTCTATTGTCCATACACTCGGCCGAAGAGGCGACCTTTGTAACCGGTCTGCTAAAGGGGCATGGTAAATTCCCGGCCGACATCTGGCTGGGTCTGGAACACGGGGCGGGTGGCTATTACCGATGGGTCGACGGCCAGTCCAGTGATTATACCAATTGGATGCCAGGTTGGGCCACGGCTTTTGATGATGATGATGGCCAGGGCAGACCCTGGGGTGACTGTAGTCGACTGGCCGTCTCTGAGGACAAGTCCTACGGTTTTTGGTATACAGATCGCTGCGAGAAAGGTTTGGCCGTTGTTTGTCAAGTGACATCGAGTGTTTTAGTTAATGTTTAAGATAGTTTGAAAAACTATAATGTACATTATTGTATGTGTTTGTTATAAAAATAAAATTTAGCATTTGTTAAATTATTGTTGATTGATTGTTTTAATTATATTTTTAAAAATTATATTGCCGATAACATACATTGTCTATTTGCAAAAGTACATATGCTTTTGAGCTTGTTTATTGATTTACAGTTGTTAATTGACTGTTACTATAATTTTAAATTGAAACGTGCGATGTCGCACATTATTATTCATTTGTTATGAACTATCAATAAATAAATTTAATTATCTCAATCAGCATGACTTATAAAATAACAATACACTAAATATATATTTCAACCAGGGTACAATTACATTTTATCAATGTATAAAATAAAATATTTGAACAAATTAAATTTTATTGGTTAAAAATCAGCAAAATAAATAACCATAATAATAAATAAAATTAGGTTCATTTTGGTTTAGGTCCCGTTAGCTGGCATACAATATTCAATTTAGCATCTTTGCAATCGTGTTTGTGCCAGGTGCCCTTATCGGCCTCGGCCATGGACATACGGGCGCACGCACCAACTCCAAACTCTACTTTTGTTCCATTGGGCCAATTGAAATATTTATTAGCCTCACCCCCATCGGACCAGCTAGCATTTTTGGCCCCTTTCAGGTGTTCCAGCCCTATCCATATGTCCGTGATGTTATCGGTGGGCAACATTAAGGTAATAAACTCCTGTTCTGCCTTCGTATAAATTGATAGCAGTTTGGCTGTGATTGTAGCGTTGACTTTGGCTGTGACTTTGACTGTGGCTTTGACTGTGTCTTTGACTGTGGTTTTGACTGTAGCTTTGACTTTGGCTTTGACTGTGGCATTGGCTGTGAGTTTAGTGCACTCCTGTCCGGCCTGTGATTTGGTGCCCGTCTTTCCCAACACGTAATAGCATTTCTCGCCCGTATGCATACTCTCCTCGCATAGACTCGACTTTACATCTAGGTTTAAATATAGCATGCTTAATTCTGTTTGTACTCTAGTTCAATTCTCTCTCTCTTTCTCTCACTCGAAGATCGGTTTCAATGCGAATGTGTGTCCAAACAGTTCCAGAGGACAGTCTTCGGCAGTGTCGACATTGATATTAATGACAAACTTATAAACAGAACAACGCAACAAAAGGCAACTATAAAACAATTATTTTCCTTAATTGCCACAAAGTGTGCAAACATTGAGACCATTGACTGCCGAGGAATGAGCAAAATATGTGAACCACTTCTGCCCGAAGTGTTGACCGCATTTCGGTATAACAGCAAAAATTTGGACGAAATTTACTGCAATTTATACGAAAATTTAGACCAATTATTTGATTCAATCGGACCAACACTGACACAAGTCTATTACATATCTTTGCCAGAGAATCAATGGTTTATTCATTGCCACCGATTGTCTCGATTGGGAGTCCACTCAATAGCCGACGCCTTTGTCATGATTTCTGGCCAATTAATGGCCAAAAATTTGAATACTTTTCAATTAAATGACTACTCGAGTGATGACCAAAATTTGTTGCCCCGATTCGTGGCACACAATCAGTGTCTCACAAGTGTTGATGTAATCAATTGTAATGATGAGAGTATTTACAAACTGACGACACAATTGTCACGATTAACGCGATTACGGCGATTGAGTCTCGGGTTTGATGTAATTGATGCCAATTTATTGGCGCAATCGTTGCGCACAATTAGCAAACACTGTCTACGAGTGCAACGATTAACCCTAAAAATCCATAACCTAAACATCGCTGCCTATAGTAATAGTCGCTATACAATGATATCTCTGGCAAATTATCAACGATTAAAACGATTGCAGTTAACCCTCGATAGAAATGTCAAACCAGACTTTTGGAAACCGTTGAAACTTTGTCCCCGATTAACACATTTGACACTTAGGAGGCATACTTATGAATGGTAAGAGGTATTGATCCGCGTACCCGTTGTTATCCATGTATAGTCGTGTGTGGCCACGACATGGTTATTTCTGGTGTCAGATCATGCAAATGGTCACAGATAGCCGAGTAATTTATATCCAACTGCATAAAAGTCTATGCATTTGTTAAATGTTAGTTTAAACAAATTTACGAAAATATACTATATTTATCTTATCGATATTATATTATATAAATGTTAATAAATGTGGCTAAAACTTGAGTGTTTGTGGTCATTGGGCAAAACTGACATTTAAATAGTCACATCGTAGCCATACTTCAAAAGATTAAGTTTAAATACCAACTACAGTAGTACCTGATTGTAAACGTAAAACTTAAAAGTTTTACATTTTTAATATAAGTGAAATAAATGATCATTTTATGGATAATTGTGACATACATTGGCCACGACTTCAGTACTTATCCATCAGTTATTATCACATGACTCGCCGGTGTTTGTCACACATTTCAAGACTACCGGCGCTGCAAACGCTTGCCATTCAATGCCATCGCATAGACAATGATGTTTGCAATCTGTTGTCGAGAATACGTAGACTTAAAAACATTGATATCAATGAGAAGAGGTTTTATTGTCTTAAAAATGGTATAAATGTTAAATACATTAAATATATTTTAAATGATTTAAATATTAATTCAATTACTTTACTATAAGATATGACACAACAGATGAAACAGTTTACATCACTTTTCGCTATGGATGACAACAAACAACAGGTATTTAATAACACGTTTGTAATTAAGATTATCAAAAAATATTAGTTAATTTTTACCGTAATGTTTGCTAATTTTTTGCTAATGAAAAAAATTAGCAGAGTAGGTAATTATAACATTTGAATTTCAATGTAATAGCACTTTTATCTCACATTTTAGCCACAACTGTATGCACTGAACTCAATGGACAGATTCGGTGACGATTTGTTTGGACTAATATTAACCTATCTCTCACTCAAAGACCGGTTCCGATGCGAGTGTGTGTCCAAACAGTTCCAGAGGATTGTCTTCGACAGCGTTGTCGACATTACACTTACGGAACAATTACTTAAAGTGCAAAATCAATATACGGGTAAAATCTGTGCCGAAATTGCCGTAAAGTGTCCAAACATACGGACCGTTGACTGTCGAGAAATAAGTGCCACAAATAGGCGACACATTCCCAAAGTGTTGGAAACATTTCGGGAAAATTGCCGCAATTTGCGGGAAATTTACTGCAAATTCTGGACAAATAGTAAACAACTAGTGGACGGGTTCGGACAACTGGTCACACAAATCAGTTTATCATCAATAAAAAGCAACAAATTACTCCTTCATTGCCCGCGAGCGTCACACTTACGGGTAAACTCGTTGGCCGACATTTTCGACACCACTTCCGGACAATTATTGGCCAAAAATCTAAAACAATTTCACTTCACGTATAATCCGAGCGATAATCAGCAACTGTTGTACACATTTGTGGCCGAGAATAAGTGCCTTCAAAGCCTTGTAGTGAATGATTGGAAAAGTAATTTATTGAAAAATGTCACAGAATTTGCCCAACAATTGTCACGATTAACACAATTACGTGACTTAACACTGAATTTAAAGCACGACATTGCATTACATTCGGCGTACTTGCGGTCAATTGGCATGAATTGCAAACAATTGGTCCAATTGTCGCTCGTATTGAAGGCCAGATCCAAAGTCATGGTTAACCAGACGTTGGATTCGTTGCGATTCTTCCCCCGATTAAAACGATTGCAATTAACTATTTCTGTGGCCATCTATGGCTACCCTATCGGGCCGTTGAGTCAATGCAAGGCGTTAACGCATTTAACACTTTACTTGAAACAATGGCTTTATAAAACTAATTTACTTAATAATTGTGACCATGTTCGTTATCTATACGTTTATATTCGCAAATACAAGCTTAGCAAACAGCTATTGGACGACATCTCAAGACTACCTGCGCTGCAAATGCTTGTCATTGAAGGCGTCGGAAGCCATGATCTTTCGGACAATGATTTTTGTCATCTATTGTCGAGAAGTCCTAAACTAAAGAGCATTGAAATCCGTGTAAATAATAAGAAGTGGTTTTATTGTTGAAAATAATAAATGAGTTATAAATACTATTTAATTAACGATAATTTTAAGTTATAATGCTACATTTATGTTTAACTTTTAATGATAAATAATTTCTATTTCTCGCTTTTTACAATTTTTAATATACATTCTATTAATTAAATTATTTTTAATAAATAACGTATTTAATATTTGATCACAATTTCCCATATGCTTAACGATTTTAATAATTATAGTTAATAATTAGAAGATAGAATAGGCTCACACAATAACATAATGTTGGAATATATTATCGGTTTAATTGTTTTATACATTTTGTTCAATAAATTATTTAATGCATCTGATATTAAAGATGACAAGGTAATTATATTTATTATAATGTAAAAACAATACTACATTTCTAACAATTTAATGTGTGTATGTGAGTGAGTGAGAGATACTATATACATTATCTATTTATTTAACATAATACATAACTTATGTAATAGCCAATATTTGCTGACCATGATCATAACGCCAACATTGAATCACTGCAATACCCAAACACATGGATACCAATAATGCTATCGAGAAATCTGGCAGTAAATACTGTCAAACCGTTTGAGATGTGTGGCCAACAGTTGGTGGCATTCAGGGGTGGATCGGGTGCTGTCCACGTGTTGTCCGCCTATTGTCCACATTTAGGCGCAAATCTCGGTGTCGGCGGACATGTGGTGACTGAGTCAGAGTCGGGCGACGACTAGACCGCAAGTACGCCGAATGTAATGCAATGTCGTGCTTTAAATTCAGTGTTAAGTCACGTAATTGTGTTAATCGTGACAATTGTTGGGCGGAGACGGACAGTGCAAACGCATACCTAATATCGATAGTATGCCTGTATTTTAATGCAGTTTTAATTAAAACTTTTAAATTAAATTTTTTGTTTAATAGACTCAGAGTTAAAGCAATTAAAAGCTGGGGTAAAGAAATGGCCGACAATAGAGAGAAATGAATTGATATACGTTT